CCAACAACCTTGCGGGTCTAGAACTAACTTGCCACACATCAGAGGGGTCGGTGGACTAACTCAGTGGGACCAGAATGCCCTGACATCACACAAAAAATTTTGGAAGTATGTGCACTTCTTTCTAGTAGAGGACCCGTAGCTCTCCTCAGATTCTCAGAGGAAACTATGATCCTAAGAAATTTACATACCACTGTCTTTCAGTACCTGTGAGAATGAATGATCATTTAAAGGTTGTTAAGCAAGCAACGATGGCTGACACAGACCTTGGTCTTTCCTATTTAAAAAAAATGAACTAAACTAAGAATCATATGAATTTGTTGATTATGGATGCTGTCTTTCAAGAGGTAAAGTTGGATAAAAGAAGATAAAAAGGAACAGATTAAGCAAGTCCAAAGGACCCTAAGGGATAGGTAGGTGGGCTTTAGCATGAGAGGGCAGTGGGAGATGGGAGAAACCAGACACACTGGCAGACATGGAGGGGTGGCTGGGTGCCCTGCACTTGCCCTGCAAGTGTGAACACCACATTTCAGAGGGAGGTGGACAAATTGGAGCCTTTCAAGAGAAAGACAGCTAGGAGGGTGAAGGGTCTAGAAGTAATGTCACCTGAGAAACTAGGGATGTTGAGTTTAGAAAAGACCGAAAAAAGGGTGATGGGGATATCTTCAAGTATTTTCAAATTGTTAGACGACTGAGGTATTAGAATCTTAAAAATTTAGATGTGGAAGGACCAAAGAGCTTTTGTCCAGGTGCTAATGTTACAGGAAAGAAAACTGAAAGCCAGAGAGAAAAGACTGGCCCAAGGCAGAGCTGGGACTAGAGCCTGGTTTCTGAGTCTCCACCCAGCGTCCTTCCCCAACATTTGCAACTGCCTCCTGGAGTGCCTGATATGCAGAGAAGAACTAGGACCCATGAGCTGCCATTTCAAGAAGGTAGAGCTTGGCTCAGTAAAAAACATTCCTGCCGGAGATCATGAGCTCATCATCAGGCAGAGTATTTCTGAGAGCGTGTGCATTAGTTTCCTATAGCTGCTATAATGAGTCACCACAAGCTTAGTGGCTTACAACAGCACACATTTGTTACCTTTCAAGTCTAGAGTCAGAGGTCTAAAATGGGCCAGCCCAGGGCAGCATTCCTTCTGGAGGTTCTAGAGGAAAATTCATTTCCTTGCCCTTTCAGCTTCTAGAAGCTATTCCTTGGCCAGTGGCCCTTTCCTGCATCTTCAAAGTCGGCAGCATAGCATCTTTAATCTCTCTCTGACTCCACTTCTGTCTCCATGTCTCCTTTGATTCTAGCATCTTACAAGGACCCCTATGATATACTGGGCCCACCTGGATATTCCAGGATAATCTCCCATCTCAAAATTCATAACTTGATCCCATCTACGAAATCCCCCTTACCATGTAAGGTGACACATCCACAGGTTCTAAGGATTTGGACATGGACATCTTTGGGCGCTCTTCAGCCTACCACGGAGTACTACAGAAAGTGCATTGACATTGGTACAGTTTTAGAACAGTGAGTTCAAATCCTGATTGAAGCACCTACTCATTGCATGACTATTACCCCCTTGAGCTTCTCTTCCCTCACCGATAAAATAAGTAGGAAATTTCAAGGTTACTATGAGGATTTATGCATATACATCTATATGTCTGTGTCTATAGATGTATATAGAGATATATAAACGCCTGGTATATAGTGCACATTCAGTAAGAGGCAGCCAGATTTGTTCAAGAAATTTCCAGATGATTCTCACCAGACGGGAATTCAATAGAAGAAATTCTATTACATGAGAGATTGGCTAAAGTGACCTCCAAATTCCCTTCTGGGATTGCTACAAGAAAAAGAAGTGAAATAAAAAGATTTTCCTCCCATATATACTAGTCTGCTTCACGGATCTGGTTGCAAGGTCACTGCTTTTCTGGATAGTCAATAGCTAACAGATCTGCTTTCTGCCCCCGCGGTGCTATCAGGCTTGAACAGGACTGAGAGCCTGGTCTGGTCTACAATGATTGGCCAGACCAGGCGGCTGAGACCAGCGCAGGCTCCCTCCTTCATATCTGTCAACATACCTGACTGCGAGCAAGTCACAGCCCGTGACCGCTGTCTGCAGGGGCCAGGGAAAGCAGGAAAGCAAATGGAGGGGAACACCTTGATTTGGTGCTTGAGGAAAAGTGAAAGCCTGTGTTGATGCTTCTTACCACCGTCCCAAACTCTTCAGCAAGGATTGGAACAGTCGTGGGCCACCACTGCTGAGTCAAGAAGGAATTTGAGAGAAGAATCCAGATTCTAAAGCAGCAATCAAGGTAGGCAATCTGTCTGGTCATGGGCCTTTCTCTCAAGATCACAATACATTAAGCACTCTACCCAGCCTTGTAGCCAGGGTGTCTCTGATGACGGCCTACGGAAGGAGATGTATGTTAGTTGTGGGCGCGTGTCGAGAGAATTCAATCATTTGTCCACCAACATATTCTGCAAAGTGGGCTGTTATTTTTTTTCCATTCTTGCTCCCCTTTGAAAATCGTCATTGTTCCTCTACATATTTCAAAGGTTTAGAAAGTTTTCTATCTTTCATTATAAAAATCGTATGTGTGATTTCTTGAAGTTCTTCCATTAGTCATGGCTCTTCAAACATAACTGTGTTCCAGAATTTTGTTTGCATGAATTCTTGATACTTCCAAGATATAGCATGACAGTTGGCATTATAATTCTGAGGAACACACTGTCCAGAAAACTGTCAAATTCAAAATGATAGGCTCTCCTAGGAAGCCATGTGCATTTTTCTGCTCTGGAACCTAAGGAGTTAAAGGTCTTGAAATTGCTGGAGCAGAATCAAGCCTATTTACCTAAGCTTATCACCCAGGGCAGCCAGGTCAATCATTTACTGATGAAAGGCTGTTTCCCAACTTTGACAGAAGACCACTAGAGCCCATGCCTGACTGTCTCTATAGAACGGACACAAGGCGATGTGGAAGGCACTGATCTCTGTGGCAAGAGCCCGTATTCTCTTCTGACCAGACACATTTTTCTCCTACCCAGAGTTGTAAATGCCACAGGGTCCTTCCCTAGCTCAACGACAAATAAACATGAACAAGACTCAGGCACAAACTAAATACCTGATGTCACCTCCCGCATGAGAGCTTGGGGCTTTGAAGAAGCTTCCCCTACTTCTGGAGGTCTACAGGGAAGAAATAAACTCGAGAACAAGTTATTAGGCGATTCTCTAGGGGGAGTAAGATTATTAAGTAATCACCGAAAAGCATGGAATTTTTCCCCTTCAAGTCTACACATTCCAGAAATATGTCCTTTTTAATAAACATGGTCCGCTCTGCTTTAGGTCTGAATCCAACTCTTCCAGAAAGGTTGTCATACTGTCATCCTATATACTTGTCAGGTCTATGCAATGGCTCGGAGCTCTTATCATTGTTAGAAGCCCTGGTGATAGAGAAGCCCTATTTTTCTGAACTCCCTTTAGGGAAGGGGTTGGGCCATTTATTCAACAAGGTAATGTTGGCACTATTTTGTCAATCATTTATGGAATTGAAGTGTATCCCCTTTAGTGTGGTTTGTGGCCAGAATTTTTATGTGGCTCAGGCAGTTAACTCGATGCAGGAGTGGAGGCCATTGAGGAGGGTAGCGCAGACACAAATCCCATGTGTGATTTTGGGTGAGTCTGTGGCTAACTCCCAGGAATGTGGGGAAGAATTACGGAAACTGATACATTTCTGAGAAGATATTAACTCTGTAAAATGTTAAGTGTGCGTCTGGCTGGTTTCCAGAGAATGTTCATAGATAATGCATGTGAAGGGGGAGGCTTAGAGGGGGGTGGGGAGTGTGTCAGAACATTCCAATGCATCGGCCAGATTTACCCACAATACCTTAGGCAGCCTTAGGAACAGATAGGTCTTATCTATCCTTTCTGCATAGCATCCGGCTTAAGCCAAAACCCTGGTGGCCCTTGAGAGTATATCCAGCTTTTCTTCCCATTTCAGGCATATTGGATATTAGGTGGGGGGAAGTTACTCTTGAGATTGACTAAACGAGATAATATTATTCCTTTTACAAGTTAGGAAGTTAGAACCCAGAAGTTAATTAATTTGCCCAAGTTTACTCAGAGGCTGGGCCCGGATTCTACCAAATTCTGCCTCATTTCCAATCCAGTGTTTTTCCCAAGTGGTCATGGAGTTAAGCACAAGTGGGAACACAAATTGTGGTGTGTGTGGGCGTTGGGGGGGGAGGGTCACTGACGAAAACAAGGCTGACTGCTGGAGTCAGCGGTTCTCCACCTGCCCTTTGATGTGCCATGCCCGAGGCCAGCTGGGTACCACTATAACCAGAACACCAGCAATGATGAGACAGGACCTTCTTGGAGGGGAAGGAAGGGGGAGGAACAGGCGGGGAGCAAGCGAACTATTCCCAGTCCTAGTAGTGACGGTGCCTGGAGTCTTCCCAGTCCCGGATATTTCTTAAGTAAACCCAGGGAATTTTCAGGCTAGATCTCCACCCCTTTCTATTCCAGAGAATCAAATTCATGAGCCCCAACTTAAGTACGACATTTGAACTATGACACCATTCCAATCCTTCTCCAGGAACTAAGAAAATTAATTACAATTTCACTTCACCGCAGCTCATATCCACTCATCTAAATCCCCGGGATTTGGGCAGAAAGAGGCTTAAAGCAGGAGGAACCTTCAGCAATCTATCATATCAAGGCTCCTGGTAACTGCAACCCAAAGAGACCCATGTGAGCCTGGAGTCCAAATGGCTTGTTGGTGTCATTCAAGCAGTAAATGCATAAGGTCTTCCTTTCCTACCAACCTCCATTTCACTTTTGTTGGGATACACCCTAAAAATTCCATTAGCTGTCTGGCAGAAATCCCAAAGCAGCCACAATGCCTGAGCATTTACAAGATCAAGATAAAGAAATGCCACCGTGAGATGTGGTTGGCTAAACATCTTTGAACAGAGAATTTCTTCTTTATACTGACCCACCTCATACATACCTCAGTGTGTGATAGCAAAGGCATTACAAATAGGGATCGCGTTGCCAAGTCCACTAAGTAGGTGCCATGTTCTGAGACAGCTGACCCCGCATGAACTGTACTCACATGCTATCATTTTTGTGACCTAAAACATTAGGATAAAGAGAAAAAGTTGGAGCTGAAATACATGGACTCATAACAACAATTCACCTTTATCCAGTGCCTCTGACAACCAGGAAATGAACTACTGCCTTTTTTATCTACATTTTTTTTAAATTTAATCCTTATAATAAACTTACACAATTTGCTCAATTCACACATATTGGATAGCTGGTAAGGTGAAGTGAAATTTAAACTGGGGTCTGTCTGGCCAAAGCCCATGTTCTTTAGCACTCTGTTTTGGGAAAAATACCCAACGGTATCTATGTTATTTGTATTCCAAGTGTAAAAGAGTATGGAGTCCTTTCTAAATTATTAGCTTGGATCCTCAGAATATATATTTATGACTCCCTCCCCCAGGTTTTCTTGATCCTATGCAGGCATAAAACCCAGTATCAGAGTAGTTTTCCTCTCCTCCAGGAAAGTAACAAGAAAACACACACACACACACACACACACACACACACACACACACACACCACACCCCTCACCCTCAGGTCAGCATTTTGATCCCTTTCTGAAATTGCAAAAGAAAATCGTCCTCTTCTTCTGGTCAACAAACATTGTTTTGTTGAGTTATTTGATTTTAATGTAACAGAGAGACAAATTTTTCATTTATTGTACCAGGACCTTTTATTTCCACAGTCCAATCTCTCTCTCTGAGCAAGGGAAATACGTCAAAACTCCCCATATGGTTTTCTTTCATCTTCCTCACAGCCCCGTAAGGGTGGTGTCATGTTCAGACACATCCTTTCACATAAGGAACCCGACATTCAATAAAGGCGAGTGCCCTTCTCAATGTCACTCAGCTCACAAGTCCCATAGGTCTCGCGACTCCAAATTCTTTGCTCTTTTTTCCTAATACACAAGCAGTTTTCTGGATTCTTCGGGCTCACAGATGGTGGGAATGGGACAATAAAAGCCATTTTCAGACATTAAAAATGCCAACTGACTAGAAAGCCTGTTCTCGGGCTACAGAGACCAACTCAAATGTTGATTGCTTTGCTTTTGGCTGAGATTCTATCAGGTCAGTGTGGTAATGTTGTTACTCTAATTAGATTTTCACTGAGTAGTGGAAATGAAGATACTAATGGACACTTAATAAAATCTGCCCTAAAGGCAAAAGCCAATTCAACCCATGTGCCCATAAGCAAAGTTAAGAGATCAAAGGAATTCTTGCTATGCAAAAGGTCAGAAACCACTGGTTGCAGGCCTATGGGATGGTATATACCATATGTAAGTAGGGGGTCTCTTGATATAGACCTGTTCCTGTCTTGGTTAACTCTCTGACCAGATGGTGTCTTGTGGTCAAGCAAGAAAACCTAAGGAACTCTTCCTACAGATTGGGTATCTGTCATGAGTGGTGTCCCAATACTTCTAGAAGCCAGCTAAAGTTACAACAGGCATTCTTGTGCCCTGTGAATTTCATTTCAGTCCTAAGATGTTCTGAGGAGGCAGGGAGCCCTTCATCAGTTGTGCATCTGTGGGGACCAAATGTTTTTATTCCTAATGCTTCACTAGGAACTTCTCTTGGCTGGCCAGCTAAGTCTCCATCCCATATGACAGTCTTGTTACATGCGTCCTTGCTTTGGGGTTAATGTGTATTTTCATTGCATTTTTTGGCCCCATCTCCGTGCCCTCAGAGGCTCTAAGGGTCTTGGTGCAGGAGGACCCATCCACTTGGGGCAGTGAGCGAAGAGAATGAAACTTCTGCCTTGCCCCACACCAACTTGTTCCCCTCCTCTGGACAGTTCCAAGGTCAAGTTTCCCTTGGGAGCAGTTAGGGAACTGAAGGTCACAAAGAGCTGGCAATGCACCGTGCCTTGGAGGGTTTCCCAGAAAGCAAAATGAAAATGAGATTGTTTTCACATAAGACTTCTGTATTTGGAGGACAGGATTCAAACCGTTTGAATCTGCAGTTTCACTGTGCACTTAGGTAACCCCCACGAAGTTTAGTTGTTTTTCTTTTCCTAAAGCCAAAACAATATCAAAAATACTTCCTGCAGAGAACTCTAACTAGGCAGAATTTTTTTTTGTCATCGCTGAGCTGATATTTTCCAGGATTCATATCTTAAGATAAGCCTTATATGATGCGTTTAGCTGGGGCTCTTGTGTCTTTCTGTGTAGTGATGGCTGGCCATGGGCCTGCCTTGTTGTAATCTCATTAGATGTCACAGTGCACCCAGCTGAAAACTTGTGGTTAGTAAGTGAGCAGGTTGCAAAAAAAGAAAACCCAGAGGCCAAGCAAAGATGTTGCAGTGAAGGAGCAGATGGTAGGTTCTCTATGACCTGAAGAAAACCAGTACCTCCATCCTCAAAAAATATACCTTCAAGTTCAAATATCTGTATTCCACAAAACTGAGCTTTATTTCCTGAGTAGGAATCCTGAAGATAGGCAAGAACCAATGGCTAAACCTCCCAATATCTGACTGTTCTCTACCAAAATTCATTTCGTCTGGTTTCTCTTTGCAAGATGGAAAAGCCCTTGGCAAGAGGTATCATTATAGAATATAGTTGTGTTGGTAACTTAGAGTCCCACCAATAAAACATAAAACATAGCCCGACAGAGGCACCCTGGTCCTGACTCCACCATTATCTTGCTCTGTGGGTTGGTGCCAACTTTTAAACTTCTTGGTGGTGACTCAGTTTTGATTCTTTACTCTCTGCATCTTCACTGTGAATAACCACAAACATTCATTGATGGGGTCATCCTCAGTTCTGCTGTTGTCGCTTATTCTTTCCGAGAAACATGTCAGACACAGTTTTTCAAAGAAGATTAAATAATCTTGAAGGTTTTTAATTTATCTAGTGAGCCAAACCACAGCTTCCTTAGAGTCCCTTGTTTGGGTCTGTGTCTGTGTATGTGTGCGCACATACTTTTAATTATTTGTACAATACTCTGGGGGCGCCTGGGTGACTCAGTCGGTGAAGCATCCGACGCTTGATTCCAGCTCAAGTCATGATCTCAGGGTCCTGAGACTGAGCCCTGCGTTGGGCTCCGTGCTGGGTGTGGAGCCTGCTTAAGGTTCTCTCTCTCCCTCTCCCTCTGACCCTCCCCTTGCTCCTGCCTTTGCGCAAGTGCACGCACGCGTGTTTTCTCACTCTAAAAAAAAAACAACAATATTTTGTACAGTACTCTGAAGATTATAAGTTCTCAATAAATATTCACTGATGGTAATAAATTAGTAGTTGACTGTAAATTTAGTAGAGAAAGTGATAAAAAAAAAAAAAGACTTTGTCATTGCCAGGGATGACTAAAGAAAAGAAGGAGAAGTATTAACCTGTGGTGTGGTGGGCATGGTGCTTTGAAAATTACTTGCTCTCTGGCGGTCCAGTAACAGAATGGCCCAACAGAGTGAAGACTGGTTTGGTCCAATTGTGCTATTGCTGCATGCTGGCTATGCAACACGGAGCAAATCACTTCAGCTCTCTTGGTCTCAATTGCTTTTTTAAACAATGGAAGCGAGGGGATGGGTGTGTATGATATTTTTATGGTCTCCTCTAGTTTTAATATTCTGTCTTTTATGAAAAACTAGAGAAGATCAACAGTTCTTTTAAAAAGAAAATACACAAATGGTTGTTATCTCTCTTGAGCCACTTTCGCTATCTCTTAGGTAAATGAACTGTGGGAATAAGAAACTGCTAAAAAGATCTCAAGAATGAAAGTCCGAGGCTGTTATAAGATTGGAGAAGGTGGGCATCGATCTTTTCTAGAGAAGGAGCCCACGCCGCTGGAAAATGGAAGCAACCGCTTCTGAGTTCTGTCCAGCGCCAACCCTGGCAGTGACGCTCAGCTTTGCCACCCCTGTGTATCACTAATGGGAGCTCCAGCAAGCTGGCAGTCAGGACTATTATCCTCCCTTTATAAATAAACAAAAGCCCTTAAAGGTGACGTGACTTGCCCAAGGTTATAGAAACCTGGCAGTGTGTCAGATGGAACTGTATGTGTTGGTGACATTATAAGCAAAAGGCGGAAGAGTGAGGGACAGATCTGCACCTCCTCTTAAGTTCACAAAACAATGGTCAAGGGCTCTGGAAGAGCTGCAAGTTTGCTTTGGATCCTGAGACCATTCGTGTCCTCCTGCCCCTCCCTGAGCTGCCTCCCAGCTACCCTGACCAGGGTTACTCACCTAGGTGGTTGCTCGCTGGGTGCTGGTGCTCATGTCCCTTCTTGTAAGCTTCATGAAAGGCTATTTGTAATGAAGAGAAGGCACAACAAGGAAGAAGAACGATGCATCAAAGATCTTCCCTGAGGGCTTGAATTCAAAAGACAGTTTTCTTGGGAGAGACTCTGGTTTCCCTTTTATATTCTGCAGAAATGAATGGTCATCAGGATGACTGACAGAATTATGATGTTCCATTCCAACGTGGATAATTTTTATTTTTCACCTCTGGGGTTATTTCACTCCTCTCTGCTCTACTTCTCCCACAAAAAAGGAAAGTATAATGCTTGCTCACTGTGACAATGAGAAAGCAGCCCAGGGCAGTGCCATTCAAAGGAAACTGCTAATCCCACCAAGCACCCAAGGCAGGACTGGAAGTGCTAGTAAGAAAGTGTGTAGCATCACGGCCCACGCGGGTCTACTTATCACTTCGGACCCATGCCCAGGGAGCTCTGAGGCCCTGCAGAACCATATTCACAAGTCATGGCTAGGAACTTCTGGCCCCACAAGAAAAGCACTGAAAGAAATGAAGCAACAATGGTCTCATGTCTTGGCAGCATTCACAGGTTGCATCACTTTGCTATCCATTTTTTTTTTTGTCCCTTTTTAAAGATGAGAGAGGGAAAGACAATATTAGTTACTATCACCCAGGGATCTCTGGTAATTTTTGGAGTGATGGGGAACGTCATGAATTCCGTAAGAATAGACTGATTTCCTGGCAGGTTCCTCAACTGACTTTTCACACTTCTCCGTTTGTATGTCACTGAGTTTTCATACTTCTCCGTTTTAACTCTATTTCCAATATCTAATTGGCTTCTTCTCAGGTAGTCTCTTGGGGAAAGGGATGGGTAACACAGTAATACATAGTTGATACTGTCCACAGTCAGTCCAAATCATACTGGCTAGGCTCACTTTTCAGAAGCCACAAAGCAAGCAACCAACCACCAAAATTCACCATTGGGTTGCCCACCAAATACGTACAGTTAAGGCAGGTTAGGAAGAAAATAAGCTTATGATTCAACAGTATATCAACCCTTAATGAGGGCAGAGAACCAAAATGGCCCATGATTCCAAGAAACATTATCAATGTCAAATGTAGCTCAAAAACAGACCTCAGTGTACTCCCATGGTACAATCTCATACATTCTCTAATGCTGATAACCAAGTGACCAAGCACCAGTTAGTCCTGTCACAGCTCCTTCTATAGAGTCCGTGAACACACTGTCACTTCTTGAACTGAACTGAATTCCCAATATTGGACTGGATTCTCCAGCCCTGTCAGTCTTCTAGTAGGAGAAAAAGTGTTTCAGGAGCAATATAAAGCCCTGTTTTCCTACTTTCCAAAAGCCGTTTGGCCATTCATACATCTACCCTTATTCCTCACTCAGCACACAGTGAAGGGAGTCAGAGTCCATAAGTATTCTATCTGTGCCCATCACTCTGCCAGACAGTGAAGGCAAGGAGGGGCTTATCCAATAGAAACTTCCCAGAAAATGAAGAGACTCTTCCTAATAATCCCATATTTTTACTGCCCACTAGTCTGAAAGGCAAAGAGGCAGCATTTTCAACAGAGGAGATGAGATTTTCATGCTATAAATCTTCAGGCATTTGGGGGCACCAAGTGTTTTTTTTTTTTTAAGATTTTATTTATTCATTTGAGACAGAGAGAGAGAGAGAGAAAGAGAATGAGCAGGGGAGAGACAGAGGGAGAAGCAGTTTCCCCGCTGAGCCAGGAACCCGATGTGGGGCTCGATCCCAGGACCCTGGGATCATGACCTGAGCTGAAGGCAGACGCTTAACCATCTGAGCCACCCAGGTGCCCCGGCACCAAGGGTTTTGATGTAATTGCAGTAAACCTAAAATAATTTGCAAGTTGTGTGTGTGTGCAATGCATGGAAAGAATTTTAATATGAGAAAGACATCAGATCAGTTTTGCAGAAAGAAAAATCTTTAAACTATTCCTGGATGTAGGTTACACAAAATCTAGGTACTTGTTTAATTTCTGGAATTAATTAGCAAATGTTTGTCCAAAACATGGGCTTAAAAGACTTCTATTGATAGCATAGCCCTTCTCTAAAATTGCTGCAACGCATTTTGATCATTTTTAGAAAAGGCACACTACAAGAAGCTTTGGCATGTAAAACATTCTTCTGAGATGTCTACATGAATCTCAGGGTCAGTTAATTATATTGAACTTCATATGTCTTCAAGTAACTCGTGGCATGCCAAATTTACATCTCATAACTATCTTATTTTACATGATTTCTTAAGTAAGATTAACCAATGAAATTTGAGTAAACTGATCAACGGATGCAATGGCTGAAGCATTATTTGGTTACACTGTGTGCTTAGCCCAGTCTCCAGACATATTTTTTTCTCCTATTCTGCAGACAGACTCTCTGACCATGTCTAGTTATGCTCAGTCTTTGGCTGTTCCCCTAAAGGGATTATCTGAGGGTCACGATTTTTCCTCTTTGAATGACTATCTGACATAATTCCCACTGGGATACTGCTGTTTTTCATATCAGCTTATATCGGAAGTTATTGATTCCCACTTGCCCCAAGCCAAGGTCATAACAGCATGTTGGAATCAAATATTTTCTATTGTTCCAACACAGATACAATAAAAAGACATTTATAGAGTGCCTAATATATGCTTGACACTCTGCTAAGTGCTCAAGATACAGAAATGAGTAGCTCACGGTTTTGCCCAGAGGAAGACCAACATCTTGTAGAGTAGATGAAGCAACAAGGAGCCAACGCATCATCGTGTGAGACTATAAGGGCAGTGACAATGGAACACAGCACAGAAAAGTTCTAGATGGATGCTCAAGAAGACCTCCAGAGAAGCTGAGGTCCAAGTGCTATTTTAAAGAAAGGGAAATTAGAATTTGCACCCTTCCTTTTCAAGAATTCAGACTTTAAAGGGCAAGCTGCTGCCTCTTCGAAATTTGTCTAACTATCCTAAGAAGGAGAAAATACAAGAGTTAAGATAGTTGTGGTGGCCATGACTAAGGAGGATTTGATCCCCTGGAGAAGGAAGGTAGCAGGAGGGTTCAGAGAGATCCTTCTAATTGAAAAGGCAGGAACAGGAAGAATTAAAACCTCACCCTGAAATAGAGCCAGTGCCTCATTCACATTCCTTGAACTTGGAGCTTTAATTTAGAATCGTTCTCTGCAGCCCAGACCTCACATGCTCTCCCAAACCCCGGGGACCTTTGCCTGGTGAACTGTCTTGTTATACATCTGATCTCTAGTCAGTTATGACTTGAATTTTATTTACCCTGGGAGCAACCTTAAACAGAAACAAAGAACAAAACACTGGAGAAATAGCAGAGAAGTCTTCTGATATCAGCAGCTGGTACCAGTTTGGAAGCTCAGGGTTAAAGGGTAGGGATGACCCACCCACACCCAACCCAACAGCCTCCATCACCATCCGAACTCCAAGTCCAACTTTAGCACCGCTCAGCTGAAGCAGGAGGTAAGCTGGAAGGGTAAGCTTAGTAGCTGGAAATCCTTCTCAGTTTTCTTAAGTTGGCTTAAGTAAATCTTTAGTGTGTCAGTGAAAATTTTCACCATCTTAAACAGTGCACCTGCTTCCTGAAGTTGGGCCAACATGTCGTGGAGCTGTCTGATACTTTTTAGAAACTCAGATTGTAAGTCACACTCCTAACGGATCAACTCACATGTTGGTTTCATTCTTTCACCCACTGAAAGAAAGAATATATGTAAGAGTTAATTAGGATAGATTTGACTACATAAATACTTAAAACTCCTTTTACAAACACCATATGGAAAGGTAACAATAGATATGGTGAACAGGAAAGTATATTTGCAACATAAATAACAGGCAAATTTTGCTATCCCTGAAGAGAACTTGCAAATCCATCCCAACTAGAGGCAATATCCCAGTAGAAAGCTGAGCAGAAAATGAACTGACAGTTCTCAAAAGAAGAAAGATAATTGACCTATAATCACTTAAAGAGCTGTTTAGCCACACTAAAAATGAAATAAAGGCAAATTTGAATGGTGAGATAACATCTCCTTTTTATGAGATTGGCAAAATTTGGGTAACACCAGGCATCGGTGAGCAGGTGGGAAACAGGTGCTTTCACACACAGAGATGATACAAATGCGAAATGCTGCAACCTCCTTTCTTAAGGGCAGCTGTCAAACCACATAAAAATGTCTCACAGTGGGTAATTTCTGACTTAGCAAATTCACTGCTAGGACTTGCTGTTAGACAATAATAGAAGAGGGCATTAAAAATTTCCCATACTACACATATATCTAGGTAAGGCTTGTTTTATACCTGCAAATTTTGCCAAGGGCGGATGGAAGCCACACAGAGGCATGCGCATGCACGAGGCTACTGGGTCGCAATCTCATAGGATGAGCTCCATCTAGCAGCCGGGATTCAGAGCTTGAACTCTGTCACCAATAGATCCGTGATTACATCTATGTCTACCAGTTACAAGCTGTGTGACCTGGGTGAGTCATTCGACCTCTGTGAGCCTCAGTTATCTCATCTTTAGCAACGAGGACAATACTACCACCTGTGTTTTAGGATCGAGCCGAATTGGGTGAGAGTATGATAGTGACGCTCTCGGCACACCGCTTGCAGAATAACCACCGCCACCGAGCCTCTTGATCCAATGCGGCCAGCTTCTGTGCAAAATGACAAACTAGACAGACCCAAGGTTTTACCTCTTCATCTTCCCAAGACCTTATCAAAAAAAAAAAAGCATGTTTTGGGGTGCCTGGGTGGCTCAGTCAGCTTAGCATCTGCCTTCGGCTCAGGTCATGATCCCGGGGTCCTGGCATTGAGTCCCGCATGGGGCTCCCTGCTCGGCGGGGAGCCTGCTTCACTCTCTCCCTCCCTCACCCCCTGCTTTCTCTCTATCTCAAGTAAATAAATAAAATCTTTAAAGAAAATAAAAACGTGTTTTAGGGGCTCCTGGGTGGCTCAGTCGTTAAGCGTCTGCCTTCGGCTCAGGTCATAATCCCAGGGTCCTGGGATCGAGCCCCGCATCGGGCTCCCTGATCCGCGGGAAGCCTGCTTCTCCCTCTCCCACTCCCCCTGCTTGTGTTCCCTCTCTCGCTGTGTCTCTCTCTGTCAAATAAATAAATAAAATCTTTTTTAAAAAAAGCATGTTTAAAAAAAATAAACTCAGAGAAGACATTACCAAAAAAAAAGAACAATCTAAATACATTTTCCTTAGTGATTAAAATTATTACTGTTATAAAAAAAAATGGATA